TGATTGTAATATTTAATGGGATTTTCATCAACCTTGTCCAAGCTTTTTGCTTGTAGAACATGTTGGGTTGTTTAGGAATGATCTTTTTTTACACATTTCTCCTCTTAAAGAAGTGTTTCAGTTTCCTGCCTTCCAGCCCAGACATGCTTACATAAAGAAAAACACAGACTGTTACCTTGAAAGCAACCCTGTGAGCCTCCTGCGACCTTCACATTCCCATCTCCATGCCTGCTTCGTTGCATATTTTGTTTTACAAAAACAAAAACTTTTTTTCCAAGTGTTTTTCAAGAATCCATCCTATTCTGTTGATCCAAATACTCAGCAAACTCAACATTGGTGCATAGTGGTGAGTTTGAGCTTCAATGGTATTAATTTTCCAACCTTTTCATCGATCATCTATTATAGGATAGAGGCACCTGATCAGCATTATTTCTAACATCAAAATCAGGCGTTTGTTTCATTTTTCTCTGACTGACTGTGTTTTAATGTAATATTCAAAAGCTGAAGGGGAAATTATCTGTTTTTGGAAACAAAACGGATGAAAGGAAGGTTGTTGGAGTAAGGATGGAAAGTAGGAAGCATGTTTCAGATGCATCACATAAATACTTATGAAAAGTAAAAATGCTTCAGAGCATGAAGTCCATAATCATTAACATGTGTAGGGAAAGTTTGGCTCAACTGTCTAATTTAAGGAAACTTTAAAAGCTTGGATTGGATTTTTCTTTATAGATTTTTTTTTGTATATACGTTTTTCCAAAAGCATGTGGCTTGAGGCTGACGACTTCCAACAGAACTGGCTTTATCCTGAAACCAACATTCATTATGTGTCATTCAGCTGTAACCGCTGATGACAATTTTCAGAACTTTAACCGCAGCGCATGGAAACTTGTGGCGAGCAGCGTGGGCTACACACCCACATGAGGGAGGGGGGGGGTCTCCAAGGAGATCAGATCTGGTGTTTACCAGTCATATGGGGATAAGGCTGGGCATCTATAAAACACATTCCTCTATAAGTTCCTCGTTTCTCTTTGTGGCGACAGTGGCGTCAGATGCAGGAGTTTGCCCTGCAACCAGAGGGGTGCCGGTTCAAGGTCTGATTTTCAGTGTTGTTGTGTCCTTGGGCAAGGCCTTTCACCCGCATTGCCTACTGATGGTGGTCAGAGAGATTGGTGTATGGCAGCCTCAGTGAGCCACAGGGCAGCTGTAGCTACAATGTAATTTGCCACCATCAGTGTGTGAGTGGTGTGTGAATGACTGAATGTAGTGCAAAGCGCGTCAATTCTTCTGCCTTGAAAAAGCAAGTTGAGGCAATTTACCATTTTGTTTCTTCACTAAGTTTTTTACCAACTGAAGTTTTTTATATTCTAGAACAGATATCTTCAACAGGGGTCCGCAAACACCTAGGGGGTCCACGGAGGTACTAAATAGAGGTCGCCATTGTTTTGGTTGATTAGACTTTTTTTATATTTCCCCCCTGCAATTTTCTCCACCAATTGAAATTTCTTTAAATCCACATTAAAGGAATAGTACACCCAAAACATGATTAGCCTTCATTTTCTACTCAACCCCATGCTGAACAACACTCTGGAGTACTTTTTTGATATCTCAAATGCATCTGGAGATCTGGGAGGCTTCTTGCTGTCTGCTGACATTCAAATAATGGAGGTCTATGGCGCCCGAGGCAGAAAGGTCCATAAAAGTCCACAAAAAACGTGTCAATATTCCTCCATACTGCTCGTCCAATGTATTCCAAGTGTCCTGAGTGGGTAGCATCCAGAATTTACTCGAAACAAAGTCATTTAGAATGTTTTTAGAGCGTAAACAGTAGTGTATAGGATTTCCTAAAAGCGCGTTCACGAGTCTACGGAAACCGCGGCAGACCAAACCAGATGAAAGTGCGCATTCAGCGTCTGCTCTGCCAATAATGCAAGCGTAGAAGAAGAAATGTGCTGTTTACCTGTGCAAAGAAAGAAACAACGAAAGAAAAATGTCTGAGGACTTCAGTGTTGAGGAAGAGCATGAGTTCTTTGCCGAGCTGAATGGGCTGGTTTGGTCTGCCGGCTTCCGTAGCGTCGTGATCGCGCAGGTGCGCGCTTTCAGGAAATCCTATACACTACTGTTTATGCTCTAAAAACATTCTAAATGACTTCGTTTCGAGTAAATTCTGGATGCTACCCACTCAGGACACTTGGAATACATTGGACGAGCAGTATGGAGGAATATTGACACGTTTTTTGTGGACTTTTATGGACCTTTCTGCCTCGGGCACCATAGACCTCCATTATTTGAATGTCAGCAGACAGCAAGAAGCCTCCCAGATCTCCAGATGCATTTGAGATATCAAAAAAGTACTCCAGAGTGTTGTTCAGCATGGGGGTGAGTAGAAAATGAAGGCTAATCATGTTTTGGGTGTACTATTCCTTTAACATGAATTCAGCACACTGTAGTAAACAGATAAATGGATGCAGATGTCTTTCAGTCATCAATGCACACATTCAGCGACACACTGGAGCTCTTTCAAGCTGGACACCGTTTCATTCACAACACCCCTCCCATCAATGAGAAATCCGAATTAGAAACACTTTAAAAATCCAAGAGTTACAACTCCATCTGTAATAGAGTGAATAGGACCAGTCTGATAGAACACAATTTCATACAATACATATAATTAGGGGGTCCCCGCTCCATCTCGCCAACAGTTTTGGCCTGGTCCTTGGCCTGGAAAACATTGAAGACTAAAGTTCTAGTTATATAAAGTTGTATAAGTTATAGTTCTACAACTTTTCACAAGTTTGCATCAGTTTTACCACTAGCAGAAAGTGATATGTAAATGTGAAATGAAGGGAAGTGGAGACCCCATCTTTTCATTGTCTCATCGTGCATCCTTGCAGGGATGAAAGGCGCTGGTGTCTCCAGCTTCCTCTGGGAGGGTCAGGTAACACCCTGGAGAGGTTGCCAGTCCATCGCAAAGCAGGGACGACCATGCACACAAATACTCATTTCTAGTCTGAAAGTAAACCTAAAAGTTTTGTTTCTGGACTGTGGAGGTAACATAAAGTATCTGGAGAACACCAACAGATGTAGAGGGACGAGATGGAAACTCCAATCCTCTAAAGATGTCCAGCTAGGATTTTAAAAACCTGCCTTTTCAGTGAAATGCAAACAAAATGTTAGGAGCGCTTTGCATTTTTTATCTGCTGAAAGTCATTGGATTGTAGAAACGGCATGATACTGCCACCACCATGCTTCACCATGAGGTTGGTGACCATAGTTTGATTAACACTGTATGTTGGCCACTCCACTATTTACATGTAGATCAAATATTGTGTTTTGCTGTTATTTTTATGTGAGCAATTTTCCTCCAGATGTTTGCTGTTTCTCCAACATAGCTTAGTGAGAAACTGAGCAGCTTGAGGTGGAAACATTCTGCCACTCCTTTAGCCTTAGGCTTCTTGGCTACTTCTCTGACTGATGCATGTCAGTTGAACCATGTTTTGGTAAATTTCCAATTATTTCACACTCCCTCTGTTTTGAGATGAACGACTGAGCTGTGAGACGTTCAATGACGTCCAATAACTTTAACTTGATTGTTTTTCTTGGTCTTTATGATGCAGTTTAAACACTGATGATCTCTAATGAACTTAAAAATCTGTATTATACATTAAATTACATAAAAACTGATGATTTTGTGAGATATTTCAAAATATCTCATTGGTCCTTTGAAGTACTCCGAAACGATGCACTACTCTAGCAGAAAAGATTCAAACAGGTTTCACTGGAATCATAGGTGAAGAACTGCATAACAGTGACTACAAGCAAAGCTCAGGGTGGAGCAGCACCAAATTATTGTGTTTGTTTAATATCAGAAGTCTTTCTCCAAGTCCAATAATGAAAACCAAATGTCTTTGGGAAAGGCCAGCGCATGTCGAAACCACAGAGGAAGAGGAGCAGCTGCTGCGCTTTTTCTTCCAGAAATCTGTGAATCTGATGATGTAATTTCAGCAGCTTTCTTCAAACTACAAGGAAGTAAATGTGTGCACATGTACGTTTAATGTGTTATATCTGCCATGAAACTGAGACATGTGCCATCTTGTTTTACTGCTGTGTTTCAGACAAAGCCTGGAGTGAGTCATGTGAACTGAGGTCCTGCAAGCTTTGCCTCATGAACATTTCAGGAGGATCCCTCATCCTTCTGTCAGCCTGTTGTGGCTGATCTGCAGGCACATGCTCACTGTAAACAAAAGCAGCTTGCTGCTGCACCGAATCCCGTGCCTGGTCGTCTGGATGGAAATATTCAATCAATATAATCCACTTAACAGAGATAAAAGCAGATTACTTCAAGGTTAAACAACCTGTAGCCTCCTGTATGAATTGCAGATGACGTCCTAAATTACCCACTTTATTAAAACATGATCCATTAGTAGCTCTGTCTGCGCGCAGGGGTCAGTTTTAATAAAAGGATGGGATCCATTACTGTTTATTTCACGACATATCCTGAAATCCCCCTGCGAACGGGAAGCAGGTGGACTTATCTCCCTCCAAGTGGCCACTTCACAGTCTCCATACGTGCGCAAGCACGGATGCGCATTAATGGGCAGGAAAGGGAGGTTTTGCGAAAACACAAAGACAATGCGACCAACGTCTTATGCCGGTAAAGTCGTTAGGAGTTACAGCCAAGGATGTCTAACAGGAATTCTTAAACGATCCACCCGGTGCCAAAGTTTCCCCGCTTCCCAATGACGCACGAGAGCGCATTGAGATGAAGGTTAGGGGTCCCTGCGGGGTCCTTCTCACTACGAGGTAGACAATTAGGATTATTTACTTCTAACCCGAGTTATTTATGGCATCCCATCACAGGATTGCTGCTTTTTTCTTTTTCTTTTTTTGCTAACTTCCAATAAAGTTTCACATGCGCGACTCAAAAACAGACAGCAATCTTTAATAGTCTTAAATAAAAAGATAAGATCATCAAACACAAGATTTTTTTCCACGTCACTCACCTGAAGCTGCGAGTCCGAACAGGACAGCGAAAACATAGAGTCCTTTTACGCACATTTGGACGGCGGGTCAGCTGAGCGCGCGCTGATGGGGGGGCAAGGAGTCAGTAAAGCCACTCCACTCAAAATTCTTCCACGGACTGACTCACAGACACAGTGAAACTCTTTGTAGAGGGATATAAACATCAAAAAACACGTCACGATAGGTCCTCTCCTTCGGCTTTCCTGTCCAAAAAGCGCATCCCAGCTCGCCTTCTGGCGTCAAACGCTTCCCTTCATGCGCCCTCCCACCATCATTCCGGGCGGAGTGAAAAGAAAAAGGAAGAAAGGGGAACTGAAGCAATCTCTGCTGCGCTCTCACATCTGCTCAGAGCTCACGAGTTAAACCCCAAACCAGTCATCAGACCAGTTCTGCGGCTGAAGGCGAAGATATTCCACAGATTGAACCATGACCTGGAAAAATCTAATCCGTTTCAAACTTTCTCTCTCTCTCAAACCTTTAGGCTTTTTACTTATGGAAGAGGACTAGGGCCTCTGAAAAAAAAAAAAAAAAAAGAAAAGTTAACTGATTCTGACTTTAATCTCAGAATTCTGACTGATAACAAACATGTTAGCATCAAGCCATAGCCATGTCTGTTTTAGAGACTAGCTCTCTTGTTAAAGTTGCCTAATTTCGTCATTTTTCACCAATGTGTCACTGGACTTCTCAAACAACTCACATCTTTGTCAGTGAAGCCGAGTGCTCTCACATCTCTTCCTTCATGGTGCCCATACATTAAAGATGAGATTAAGGTCAGAATTCTGAGAAAAAAGTCAGAATTCTGAGATTAAAGTCAGAATTCTGAGATTAAAGTCAGAATTCTAAGAAAAAAGTCAGAATTCTGAGATTAAAGTCAGAATTCTGAGAATAAAAGTCAGAATTCTGAGATTAAAGTTAGAATTCTGATATTAAAGTCAGAATTCTAAGAAAAAAGTCAGAATTCTGACTTTTTTCCCATACTAAACTGAAATAAAATTTAAAAATCGGTTAACTTTTTTTTTTCAGTGGCCCTAATCCTCTTCCGTATTTTACTACATGCTAAGGAAGTCTGTGGAATTTTAAATGTATTCTCAAATAAACTGAATCTAAATCAAAGTAGTAAAAGTTTAACCAGGCCTTTATTATATCTCTGGTTTTCTGCTTTCCATGTCTAATTCTTCTATGAAATGTGACATCGCTAACCAATGGCATAAATATTGGTGAGCAGAGGCTGCAGTAGCTTGGGGGCCCCCCACCTCTTAGGGGCCCCATCACTGACACCTGGTTGGCCCCCTTTGCAATTATGGTTTAGGACGTCTGATTGGAGACTTAATGGGGCGAAAAATCCCTTTCAAAACCCACCAAATATTAAACCGACTGACCGTACCTTATTTTACAACAACACATGTCAGATTTCAAAATGATGGTGAGCCGTTTAAACCAGACATCAATAGCAAAGCAGACAGTGGTACTTTTAATTACTATGTTAATAACTGTTTATAGTTGACTAGATGGTTGGTAAAAAATACACTCATATAATATGTTTCAAACCAAATTAAAGGTCCCTAAAGAACGATGAATTTGAGTATTTTATTTTTACACTATGACTTGGAATTATGGGTAATCCAGAGTGTTGTACTTCCTATGGGGCCCAGCCAGATAATGTTGGTTACGGGCTTATTGTTGTGTCGTTATGCCATTGTCGCCAAGTCAGCCACTTGATTTTAGAGAAAAAACATCCTAGAAAGTTACTCTCCTTGTCTTTTTATTTTTTTATAGATTTTTTATAGAAATCTGTCATTTTGAACGACTTTTTATAACCTGCGCTAAGATAGGGCTGCAGCTTATGATTATTTTGCAAATCAGTTAATCTGTTTTTTTTTTGTTTTTGTTTTTTTGATTATCGATTAATAATCGGATATCAAATGGTTCCTTAAAGAAGAGTTTTTACAAAATGAAACTAGGACAAACTAAAACTTTTCCACAAGAGGAATTCTGGATATAGAATAGTGACAGACGTAAAAGTTTTTTTCTCTCTAAAATCTATACTCCAGTTTATGCCTAAATGAAAGTTAATTTATAAGTAAGAAAAATGTGGGTGTTTTTTTTTGTTTGTTTTTTTTTTTTTCAAAGACCACATGACTTTAATTAATTTCAGCTGTTACATGCAGGGAGGGATTATTCGTTGGTGATTAAAAAACTTTCAGCATAAAAGCTCATATTTGATTTGTTTAAATGGAGGACTTTAAACTATATTTACTGAATGATTTTACAGCTATTTGATTTATATTTCAAGAAATATGCTAATTTTGAAGATGATGATAAAGTTTTAATCATGTTCAGCAGTGGGAACGGGAGTTAATAAAATAAACAAGAATCTGATTCTAAAACAACCCCATTGTAAAAAGGATAGGAAGAGTTAAGCCACATGAGGGCAGAGCTGCACTGCAGTGTCCACATGCCTTCAAATGTATGTGCAGGCTGACTTACATATGGAACTTTGGGAAAATGAATAATGGCTGTAACAAAAAAAAAACTAATAGTTAAAAGTAACCTCTTAATTACAAAATTCTACAGAATCATATGCCTAAAACAGTAGAGTTAAACACTGATCTGTTCGGTCATGTTGCAATCTTTTGTGGGACAAATGTCTGCTGTTTGTGCAGTGGTGGTGCAAGGGTAGAGCACACATTCCTAATATGGCAGACACAGCCACCCTGGGTCCTTTACTGTATGTCTTCACCCTCTTTTTTCATCAAGTTTCTGTCCGTCTACTTTTTATTTAAGAAAACTGGTACCTAAACTTTTTTAAATAAGTGGTAAAGATTGATTAATCACGCCAGGATTGAACTGTACGGTTTGACATAGCATAGCCAGTTAGGATGCTATGCAAGGAATATTTTTAAAATGACAAACGGTACACAATATGTGACATGTTATCATAAAACAAACATAGCATTCTAAAAAAATAGAAGTGCCTTAGTTGGTGGAGCTTTGCTGCAGGACAGCCCACTAAGTCTAACTCTAAGTCTAAAGACTCTAATGCTATATTTCATAGAAAAAAAAAAAGTTACATGTATTTCAGTTATTACAAACAAGAAATTAATGATTTCTTACATATTTTTGTAAAAAATTATCATCAGAAAAGTGAAAAATCACCAAATTTGTATTATTGTCTGATACATTGGAATTTGAACTGTTTAAAATTGGATTTGTTTGTAATTTGATTATGAAATGTCCTTTATTTGCCTTGTTTTGGTTTATTTTCCTACCACAAAGTAGTGGTATATAGTCATTTTCTTTAGAAGTAGGATTAAAAAAAGCAGTGCAGCTCCAATTAAGTCAGTGTAACATAATACCAGTGGGGTGTGGCAGAAATAAAATATGGAGGATGCATAAAGAAGAATAAACGCAGGGCAGCAGAGACAAAGGAGCAGCTGAAAGCTGAAACAGTCAATGTTAGGAAAGTAAATGTCAAAACACAAAAGCTTGTGTAATAATTAACAAGATGGGTGTGAAGGCAGAAAGTAAATCGGATGGAAACAGACCAGAGAACTGTGACAATAGCTAATAAAGATAAAACTGAAAAATATGATATCAAAATCCAGTGAGATTAACAAAATGGCCAAAATCTTGACCAAAATGTTGAAGAACAGAAGAAAAACTGAATAAACAGAAACAGTAACTGTAATAGTAACTGTTTCAAACGTGAATATTTTTTCAGCATTGCAAAATAAAAAAAAATGCAGCGATAGATTGATTAAATCATTTGCTTTTTTTCTGCTGGAGGGAGGAGCTGTTATATCAATTAGCTGTTAGCTGTTCTGACAAAGACAGGGACTCCATTCTACATCAATCAGAGCTGAATTAATTCACACCAAACCAGATACATTTTTTTTTAACACATTTGATAACCGGAGGTTAATATTTCCATGTGTTAATGCTTTTTTTTCTCCCTGATGTTTCAATGTATTAATAAAATAAAACATATAAAACATCTATGAAAATAGAAGTTTAGATACTATTTTTATAGTAGCAGAAGCCAGGCAGATGATGAGAGTGGGGAGCCTCACATATTGTTCCACAGTATGTCAGCACCACAAAGAACATCACCACCCGAGCCAACCAGCAACCTTGGATGAATGGGGAGGTCTGGAAATCGCTAAAAGCATGAAAATCAGCTTTCAGGTCTGGAGATAAAGAGGCACTAAGGACAGCATGTGGAAACTTGAACCGTGCCATCAGATCAGCGAAGCAGAACACTGCAAAAAAATGAAATCTAAATAAGTCTTTTTTTCTTAAAATAAGAGCATTTTATCTTGAATTAAGGATTTAAGTGAAACACTTTTCCAATGGAACAAGACAATTTACACTTAAAATAACAAAAAAACGATTGCATTGTCTTATTTCAAGTGCATAATATCTGGATACCTTATTTTAAGAGTAAAAGTATTAAATCCATTGGGAAATCATCTTATTCACCTGCTCAAATTAAAGGTAAATACCCTTAATTTAAGACATTTTTACTCATTTTGAGATCATTTTTGGAGTGAACAACATAAAAAGGGATACCAGGAGGATGTGGCAAGGCATATGGGTGATTAGTGACTACAACACTCCCTCCCCCAGGTAGATGCAGCAAATGCTGACTGTCTAAATTAACTACACAAATTCTTTGGAAGGGTTGAGGCAGTGAAAGCCGTTCCACATCAGGGGGAGGAGGCAACCTGGACGTAGCTGAAGTGAGGAAAACTCTGAGGAGAGTCAACCCAAAAAAAGGCCCCAGGCCCCATTGACATACCTGGGCGGGTGTACAAGGAGTGTGCAGATCAGCTGGCTGGTGTCATCACAGACATTTTTAACACCTGACTGGACCGATCCGTAGTACCAGCATCGTCTGTCACCATCATTCTGGTCCCAAAGAAGCCTCGGCCTGTCGTACTGACTCCTATCATGATGAAGGGCTTTGAAAGGCTGGTTAAAGAACACATCGTCTCCAGTCTCCTCCCAACATTCGACCCCATGCCATCTCCTCTGCTCTTCACCTTGAGCTTATCACACCTAGAGGAGAAGGACACCCATGTGCGGATGCTGTTCCTGGGCTCCAGCTTTCAGCACCATCATCCCACAGCATCTGATGGGCAAACTGGAAACTGAAAGTTTCATTGACTTATTTTTGTGTATTAGCTTGTTAGGTTACAACATGCCTTACATCATTCTATAATTTACTCTTCTGCTCTGCCTAAAGAAAATCTGCCATTTTTACACAAAATCTGCATATCATTCCCTTTAATTT